TATTATGATGATAAATATAACAGAAATTTACCATCTTAATAATTTTTGTATGTCTTGTGATTTTGGGGTTCTTGTTATTGAAAATTGGACATTTAAGGATTATAATGTGATAATTCTAGAAATCAGATTTTTCACTTTCCCCAGTGTGTTCCTTTGTTCCCCTCCCTCTCCCTTCACTATTCATCATTTCAATGATGAACAAATGAGAATGTGAAGAAGGAATAGAAATTATTAAAATGAACGAAAATGAAATCATGGAGATAAAAACGTCACTAGAAGATTGGAACAGCATATTTGAGAAGGTAGAAGAATCAGTGAACTTGATAATAATACAGTTGGAATGACTTGAGTCAGAAGAGCAAAGGGAAAAATAATAAAGGAAAGTTTAACAGAGCCTGAAGACCTGTGGAACATCATCAAGCAACCCAACACATTTATTATGGGAGTTCCAGAAGGAGAATGCAAAGGAAGGGCCAGGAATGTCGTTGAAGAAATAATGGCTGACAGTTTCCCAACTGTGATGAAATACATAGAGCAATATATCCAAGAATCTCAATGAACTTCACCTAGCAGTAAGCTAAAGAAATCCACACGGAGACACATTGTAATCAAACTGTTGGAGAAGGTGGAATTGTTGCTTAATGGTTGCAAGCTTTTTGTTTGGGTGATATTAAGTTTTGGAAACTTATGAGTGATGGTTGTACAGCATTGTGAAGGTAACTAATTTCACTGAATTGTGTGCTTAAAATTATTAAGATGGCAAATTCCTGTTATATTTATCATCATAATATTAATTTTAAAAGAGATTACATTTCTGTTACTATTAATTTACAACTGATCACAACACATAAACATACATTTTAATAGCAATCATCAAATATAAAAATACTTTATTGGGAATATATTTCAATAAAATGTATGGAAATTATTTTTTTGTAAAGAAAAGTATGCATCTGTTTATGCAACATTTTTTTGCTAGAATGAGATTGAGTTGAGAACCATTTCTTTTCTGATTTACCTTGTATCTTGAGGTGTGTACTAAAGAAATTCATTCATATGAATAAAAAGAAATAGAAATGGAGGGAGATTTGAAACATCAGTATTACATAGTTCTTTGATGTTGATAAAATGAATGGAAGTCATCTGGGCCTTCTGTTCTCAAACTAAATTCAGTATTTTGAATTGTTCTGGGGATTTTTTTTCCCTACATAAACAATGTGCTGAAGTAGAGCTAGATATGGTTGAGTATTACATCTTCCATTTGCAGAGGCAGAGACAGGTAATTATAAAAGAGGGTGTGTGAAAGATAGCTAGCAAACTACCTTCAACTCAGTGCCTTGAAAAACCTTTATGAGCCTCCACAGTCACAGGTACTTTTCAGATGCTGATTTATTGGAAAGAACATTAAGCCAAGCTCCAAGAGATTTGCCATCAAGGATAAATGCAACTACTACTGGGAAGTGGAGAAGATAAAGAATTGGATGTTTCAATATAATTAACTGCTTCGGGGCCCATCTTTATTGATGGGGAATCCATTCTTTGGTGTTCTAAAACAAGGTTTCAAGAGCAAGAATAATTAACAATAAAAATAAAGGACAGGGAAAATCATAGTTAGAGGTCATCCAAGAAACCTTTTACCTAATTCCATCCTTTCCCATTATACCTTCTCTCCTTTCCTGTGCTTTTGTCTGGTTTGGTGAGTTAGCCCCCACAAGTCAATTACGTGACAGTCGTTGAGTTATTTCTCCCTGAATTAAAAGCTTCTCCATAATGAAAAGTACATCAAATAGGCAATGCTGAGGTCATGGCATAAAGCAAAGACAGTCTTAAAATTTTTTTACAAATCTCTGATTTATGTTCTCTAAAAGCTTCATCAGAGGAAACGCCACACTGCTTACAGAAAGAAGAGAAAGACACCTCTTATGATAGAAGGCTCCTTTTGATCATCCAGAAGCTATAAGCTTACTAAGCAATTTTGGTTGGTCCATAAGGGTGCTTTATGAACTTAAAAAAATGTTAAATGAAATCTAGTAGGGTAAGGGGAATGGGGGAGGGGAGGGAGGACAGAGTGGGGGAGGAAAAGGGTGGGATTCTGTATTGAAACTGAATTCCACACATTTATGAGTTTGTCAAGATGAGCCCAACTAGTACATGTAACTACAAAACTCTAATAAAAAAAATGTAAGTAGGGAAAGAAAGTTAAATGAATATACTCATATAAAATCTCATATGAAATATAAGATATACTCATATAAAATAGAAGATGATAAGGTCATTTAGGATTTGTCTATATTAGACAAAGACTTGAAGAGAGACCCATATGACTTGAGACTATGAAAGTCTCAGGCTTATGATCTCTTTGTTTCCATGAGAGTCCTTCTTAATTTGTGCTTCTTGACAGTCAGGGACTTATTTTGGAAAGTGTTCCAGTGGCTTCACTTTGTACTGGAATAGATTGCAAATTCCTCTCAGTGATTTAGGTGGTTCCTAACTATGTCACATTGACCTTGTCACAGAGGTACCCATCTTGATGTCTTTACTCCAGCTCTCCTCTCCTATGTTTGTTACATATTATGCCCAGTTAATGCCTGTTTAGTTCCTTTGCACACACTGCTCCCTTTTCCTAGAATGTTCTTTCTCCAGATCTTTGCCTCACAATTTGGGCCTTTTCTTTTTTCTTTTCTTTTTTTTTTTCTCAGTTCTAAGCTTGCCTCTTCAACAGGCGTTTCTTAGCCTGATGTGGTGGCACACATTAGTAATCCCAGTGACTTTGAATTGGGAGGCTGAGGCAGGAGGATTGCAAGTTTGAGGCCAGCCTCAGCAACTCTGTGAGGCCCAAAGCAACTTAGCAATACACTGACTCAAAATGAAAAATAAAAAGGGCTGGGGATGTGGCTCAGTAGTTAAGAACTCCTGGGTTTAATTCCTAGTACTAAAAACCAAAACAAAACAAAACAAAAAACCTTTCTCAAACTACCTTTCCTGTTCTCTAACTACTCTGTCTTATGCATATTAGAGAGGATTTGTATTCATAAAATTCATCATTGTTAGACATTTTCTTGCATAATTATTCACCTTCTTATCAATTGTTTCCTTCCCCTATGTAATTATTCACCTTCTTATCATTTGTTTCCTTCCCCTATGTTGTAACTTCATCAAAGGAAATCTCTCTTGTTCAATATTACATTCTGGGCCTCTTCAATAGTATGAAGTAGGTCTATAATATGTATTTATTTATGATTCACTAATAAAACAAATCATCTTATCTACTTTCCTCCTAAATTAGTTCATGTCAAATTTCCCCATGCACACCTTTTCCTCTGTACTATACAGTTTGTTCTGCTTCTTAAAAACGGATTGATTTGCACACAGACAAATGGACTCAATGGAAATATTTATTTCACTGGTCTGTCACTATATATTAGCTGACTAATAGATGGTAGCAAAAAACAAATTAACCAACCAACCAAATAAACAACACAAAATTGGAATCTATAAGTTCAACTCCATTTTGGGAGCTGGCATAAGATACTAAAATTAATTGCAAAATATAGTGTCTTTTATGATCTGGGTTTTCAACCTACCATTTGATCTGAAAGTCCTAGGAAATCATCATGTTATCCTTTTCCCCCAAAATGCTCCATTTATATCATATATGGTCTCCTCTGTCTTGGAATTCCCACTGGGAAAGGAGCCAGAACTAAAAGTGATTGTGCTGGGAATGGGAGGGAAGCATCCTCTTCTTCCTTATCCATGCTTAAACAATTTCACTAAATAAGGTCTGGGAGTCCAACTCTGGATGATGTGTCCTTGTGCAGTCTTTTTTTCGCTGCAATTTCTGAATTTTTTCTACTAAAAAGGCTGCTCTTCTAAGGAGCAAGTCATGGTGTACTGATGTTTATCACTTGTGCGTGAAATAAACATATCCTCGTCACAGACTATAACTAGGCATTAGCCAAATTTTGATCAAAATTAAGAGTTATGAAAATCAAAATATTGAAGCAACTGTTTAATGGAGTCAACTTAATAGCTGTCCATTTAAATTGCAAAGCTACTACCCACGCTTCAGCCAATTTATATGTATTACTATATTTGAGTCAACAATAAACCAGCTTAAATTAAAATAATTAAATGTTGTTTTTCCCTTTCTGAGTTTTCCTCCCATTCCATTATTTCCATTTCTGTTATGGTGTAAATATGAATTGTGACTCCTCAATGACTCATGTGTTGAAAGTTTGATCCCAAGTGCAGCAAGGTTCAGAGGTAGGTCTTTTGGGAAGTTATTGGTTGATGAAGTTTCTAACCTCATCAATGGATTAATCCATTGGGAGCTGAATGGACTACTGGGAGGTGGAGGAAGATATATAAACTTCCTATGAAGAATGGTTTGGGGAAATATCTCACTTGGATTCTATCTATCTGTCTGTCTGTCTGTCTGTCTATCTATCTATCTGTCTATCCATCTATCTATCTCTGGCACTTTCTTCTGTGTCTCCCCCCACTGCTCCTGTTTCTAGATCACCATAGGCTGAGCAGCTTCCCTTTACCATGTCCTTCCACCATGATGTTCTGCCTCTTCTCAGGCCCAGATCAATGGAGCCAGTCAACCATGGACTGAAAACTGAAACTATGAGCCAGTATAAATCTTTCCTTCTCTAAGTTTTTTATTTTTTTCTCAGATGTTTGTCACATTGACAAAATGGTAACACAAGCCCAGGTTTTGAAAGAGTATTTACTTTTTAAGATGATGAGAAAACAAGCAGCATAAGTGTTATGGGTTTAGATATGAAGTCTCTCTGAAAAGCTCATATGTGAGTCAATGTAAGTTTAAATGATTAAATTATCAGAGGTGTAAACTAATTGGTGGATTAATCCACTAATACGGATTGACTGGACAGTAACTGTATGCATATGGCTGGAGGGGATAGGTTATTAAGGGAGTCCTCTGGGGTTTTATATTTTGTCTCTGATGAGTAGAACTCTCTCTCTCTCTCTCTCAGTTTCCCGGTTGCCATATCCTAAGCTGATTTCCTCTGCCATGCCCTTCCACCATGATGTTCTGCATCATCTGGGACCCAGAGCAATCGAGTCAGCCGATCGTGAACTGAACCTCTGAAACTGTGAAACTCAAATCAGTTTTTCGCCTCTAAATTTTTCTTGTCATGTTTTTTGTTCACAGTGATGAAAAAGCTAACTAAAACAATTAATGATACAGGGATGATGTTGTTATTTGCCATTGTTTTCTTTCAATTCTAATCAAACAGAAGTAATATATCCTTTATTTATAAATAATATTGTTTAATGCTGGTTTTCAATAAACTAAATTTTAATTTTTTTAATTTAAATGTGAGGATTATCCCTTGGAAAAGAGAGAGTACAATGTTAAAATAATTTTATTTTCTTTTATTTAGGTGTCAGTTTCTCCAATTTCAAGAAATATTTTCTCACACCAGTTTATAGGGTGAGGTGACAAGTGAATAAACTTTCATAGATAAACCATAATGTAAAATTCATTTATGTATTTATTTTAAAGACCATAATATACATAGAAACTTTATTGCTATTCACAATTGAAGGAATACTTATATGTAAATAACATGGAAGGAGGGTTGGGCAAGGTAAAAGTTGATATATGTAGATAAGAATTTGGTATTGGGTTTTTATGAAAAGAAGAGCAAAAGAAAAGTAATTATCTGTGAATAAGATACAACTTTTAAAAAACCCACTCTCATGATTTTAGGTTTTTATTTTCCCTTGGTGCCTATCTATTTTGCTATTTGAAGTCAGTAATGAAGGTTTAAAATCATATATTTTTTTCATACTCTAAAAGAATACTATTATTTTTCCTTTAACTCAAAATAACTGACTCTAAATTCTTATTCAACAAGACCTGTTTCATTAATCTTTACATTTCAGTTGAGAACAACATCCAATTTATCTATATTAGGGTTTTTACTGCTTAAAAATGATTAAATGAAAAGAGTTACTACTCCAAAATCTAGTTTAGTTACAATTATTATTTTTACTTGCTTATATTAAATTTAAAGGAAACCCCAATTTTATCTAGCAGACCTATACTCTAATCTTGGTTGAACAGGTAAAAATATTGAAATGAAACTTACTTTCTTGTATTTCATTTCCTTTTGTTTAGTTGTAAAGCACACTTCATTCTGCATTTTTGAGCTACAGTCATTGAGTCAACTATCCCCAAAGTCTTCCTAATATTCTCTTTCTCCATTAACACTAAAATATGATTTTTTTTCAAGGAGAGGACCATGTCTATATCATTTTGGTTTGCCTATTTGTGAGGAAGCAAGTAAGTTTCATCTCTGTGTCAACTGAAAATACATTGCTAGTGACTGTGTGGCATAATGTATTGAGAAACAATCTGAGGTTGTGTTTGACATCAGTGGGAAAGATTGTTTTACTTGATTAGCAATACCTGTCATGGGCATGGGAGTAAAGAATAGCTCTATATCTCTCTGCTGTCCCTGCCTTTGTGTTTGAGGAGGTACCTATAACAGTTTGGCATACAATAAATGTTTGCAAAATAGATGAGCAAACTTCAATTATAATTGGACAATCCTCCTGTGCAGTGAGAATACTCTGAGGTTCCTTTTCAACCTATCCTTCCACCTTTTCATGCCACTCAGTATAGAAACTACTTTTTGGATTGGTCAGATAAAATAGTTTGTGAGGCTCATTCAAATGAACTTTCAAAGTTGTCAATCTATACTATACAGTCCTCATACAAATAACTTATTTATCCTTCAATTCTATTTTGATATATATATATATCAAATAGTTTGTGACCACTCCTTTGAATATGCCCTTTATGTTTCATCTTAAATTGTATAATCTCTTATAATTAAAGTAGTTGTTATTCACTTCTTTTTTTTACAGTACCAAATAGAGCATTTAGAAAAACAACAAATAGTTTGTTGAAAATAACAACAAAATTCTTGATATAAATGCCTGATAATAATTTAAGAATACTGTTCTTTTTGCAAATTAATAGCACTTGAATATTTAGTTCAACATATGAAGAGGGCTGTGTTCTTTCTTTACTTTCTAAGGCTTGTGCAAAATGAAAATCATACAATCTACATTATAAATTGTATTAAGATGAGACACATATATGGCTTAGCATAAACTCAGTGCCTAGACAATAATGGATACTCAATAAACGCTATGTGCTCTTAGGATTTGTGCTAACCCTTGTCTGTATCTCAAATATGTTTTTCCCCTCACTGCTCTGCCTGTGAAAATGTCACTTATTGCTCTATTAAATCTTGAGTATTTTTTTTGTAGTAAGGGCAGGGTTAACATGAGTATTTGAAAGGTGCCAATAAATCTACACCAACTTTTCCCAACCAAGTGTTTTACAGGGGCTGAGGACAAGTAGCAAAAGTGATTGATTGGAATTTCACATGTTTTCTTCTGACCAAAGCCTTTATGTATCCAGGTATGTGAACATGGTATAGTTTTCAAGCAGGGGCGGAGGGAAGCCTTTAAGGTATGATTACCAGGAAAATTAAAAAAAAAATCCCCAAATCCAACATGGTCCTCCAATTAATTGAGCATTTACCTTTAAATGCATATAAGCATGTGCGATTAATCGGTTTTGTTTTCTCATTTAAAATTGCAGTTTATAAGCTGCTTGAAGGAAAATAAATTATTTATAACTCCATAGTGCTTACTCTGATGGTATCTACACAATGAAATTTAGTCAATATTTTGTAAAGGAATATTGCAAATCATTCACCAAATTTTGCATTTCTTTTTCATTATATTGGTTTGTTACTGGGATACGTCTGCATGCTGAGGACTAAATTTCTCATATTCTTTTGCAACTAGGTGGGGCCATGTGACTGTTTCACTACAGAATGTTGGCAGAAATGATTCTACAACCTCAGGGTCAGGATACTACAGGAAGAGAGTTGTGTGCTCCATGTTTTGTTTTTGTTTTTGTTTTTAATACTAGGGATTTAATCCCTAGGGGTGCTTTACCACTGAGCTACATTCCCAGCCCTTATTTTATTTTGAGACAGGGTTTCACTAAGTTGCTTAGGGCCTGGCTAAATTGCTGAGGCTGGCCTCAAACATGATCCTCCTGTCAGTCTCCTGAGCCATCCAGGCTCTCTATTTGAGGACTCTGGATTCAGAGGACTCTGAGAAATGAATAGCCTGGAGCTTCAAGTCTCCTACTTACTGCTGTGATCACTCACACTCAATTATAATGGAGAAATACACTGTCCATGAAGATAAGATACTGAATGTTTGGGCCAGGTATGTTGGTGCACATCTGTAATCCCAGTGGCTGGGGAGGCTGAGGTAGGAGGATCATCAGTTCAAAGCCAGCCTAAGCAATTTAGCCAGGCCCTAAGCAACTTAGTGAGACCTTGTCTCAAAATAAAAAATGAAAATGGCCTGGAGATGTAACTCAGTGGGAGATCACCCCTGGGTTCAATTCCCAGTACTTAAAAAAAAGAAGAAAGAAAAGAAAAGAAAAGAAAATTTGGAGTTTATCTTTCACAGTGGCTAGCAGTTGTCTAAAAATACAACTTAATTTTTCATTCATATGCCCTGCAATTCCCCCAGTCCCCAGAAAATTGTAGTTGTTTTCAACATCAAACCTAATTCGTAATTCCACTGCTCAGTTCGATTTTTATTCTTATCTCAAATTTCTGACATGTTAACGATCTAAATTACAACATCTTCATTTTAACTTTAAGGGAATATTAGTTATATTGGTATTTTAAAATGATGTACCTTTGGCACATCAAAATAGGATGAAGCAAGCCCACCACAGTATTGTACCATTCTTAACTAAGCCTTTCTTCAGAGAGCTACTTGGAGTGATTGTATATCTGATATTTTGATATCTCTGCCTTGTGGCTTATCAAGGCAGCCAATAGCTTGCTGTTTTAATTAGAAAAAGTTATTGCTTTTGTTTACTCTTGATATGTTCTGTATTAAGAGAGCCACAATATTTATAAGAATGCCTGAATGAAAAACAGAATAAAACAAAACACCCCCAAAGGAGTTTTTCCTTGGATGGTGAAAAGGACTAAAAATCAAAGAGTAAATTACTTCAAATTGCTATCTTTCAAGTATAATTTTACTAAGTTGTTGTTTGGAGTGTTTTTATGTCATATTTTTCAAACATATTTTTTCTTTATAATGGTAAAATAACGGTCATTTGGTCTTTTTTTTTTTTTTTCCAAATCTGAGTAGTTTTGTGCACAAACACAATTGTCCATCACTGAACATGCTACAGGAAAGGCCCAGAATGATACCTTTATTTTTAAACACTGTGTACTTTCATGGTATTGCAAATAAAAACCACCTTCCAAAACTGCTATGACAACTTCCACAATATTTTGAAATTTTAAATTAAAAAATGTCATTTAGGCCAGATACATAATTAAAATGCTTTAAATATCTTCAACTTTTTGTATAAAGAGAATAGTAACCATTTTCTATCAAATCATGGACAGAAATTATCTGAATATGCCATCAATCTGGGGACTAAATTAATTATTAGTATGACTGTCATTTTAATTTACAGCACAAATGATAAGATACAGTGTAGAAGAGAAGGTCAACGTGTTTGGGTTGAGGCAGACCTAAGTTTAGAGTTTATGTCACTTACTAGTGTGATGACCTTGACAAAGTTATAAGAACTTTCTTAATTTTGTCACCTGTAAAAGGATAGATTAGAAATAATGCATAAAAATATCGTTTGGCATACATTAAGTGCTCAGTCATGACAAAATCAATTCATTTAGCTTTTGTGATGTATATAAGTGCTGTCATCTGAGAGTTGCTTAATTCCACAAATTGGAAGATTTTTTCATATGTTTTATAGTTATGAAGAATGGTGATGTTGGGAAGAATTTTATATCAGCCAATTCTTGCAAGAACTATGCTATCTAACAAACCTCCAAATGCAGTAATTGGCAACAATGGGAATTTGTGGGCATGCCCTTAGGCTTCTAAGGCCAACAGGTAATTTACATTTAGGATAGGCCCATCTGGTCAGGAATGATTCAGATGGCAAGGCCACTTGGGCTTAACTCCAAGCTGGGTACTGGGTTCAAGTCTGTTCAATGTGTCACCAATCTCAGCTAGAAGAAATAGCACTTACCTGGGATGAACTCTTCTCAAGGTAAACCACCAGGCACATGACACCAGCCAAACCATGCAAGTGCCTCTGCTAAGCATTTCCTTCTAAAGCAACTAGCAAAGTCAAGTCTCAAGCAGTAAAGTGGAAAAATAGAATCACAACGGTTGGGAGGCAAGTGAATGTGTGTGGAACCCTCAAAATGTGACCATGTTGCAGAGAAGTGGGGGTAGATGGAAAAAGGAAAACAGTTTAGGTCCTCCAAAGAGAAAAATCAAGCAGAGAGTGTCACACTAGACTTTAGTCACAGTGTGGAAAAAATTGAATAAGATGAAGAAGAAAAGGGGAAACAAAAGGAGAGAAAATGTGCCACGTGGTTTTGAGAATTGAATACAACCCTAAAGAGACAGACATCCTAAAGGGAAGAGATTGTTTAAAGTAGCAGGTAGCTTTGAAGAAATGGCAGTTGTATTTAGCTGTCATCACAAATAGACAGGCATAGTGGAGTTATTAGAATGGCCTCCGTGTGTTCAATATTCAGACTTATTCAGCACAAGCTGGTTCCTCTTGTATCATCTCTGAAAAACATATATTTTTTCATACTATAAAACATATGGTGAATTGACAGCTGAGTACATAATTAGTTTACATGAAATAAACTGTTTCCACAATATATTTAAACCATTTTGGAAATAGGTACTTATACGAACCAAATGCCTTTATATCTAGTGATTCTATTTATTAAAACAGGTACACCAGAACACTCATTCTTTAATGAATTACTAGTTTGAGTTACATTACTGTGTATAATAAAAAACATTCTCTTAAAAACATTCCTTTAAAAATACTTATTAATTAAGACTTTCCATAAGCACAGATTGACGCTGCCCCCAATTTTTACTTAAAGTGTTCAATTAAAAAAATCCTGTCTAGGTGTTGAAAATACAAAGATAAACTAAAAACAAGAATTCTTGCCCTGAGGAAGGTCAGAGAATAATATAATAATATAATACATAATTTTGTAGAACATGATGGATGCTACAGTTGAAGCACAAAAGAGGCAAATTCATTTAAGTACAGAGGAATGTCACCAGTGGTGTTTGGGTTGAGTTGGGGAATAAGTAGAAGCTGTATAGGTGAAAGATCAGTGAGACCATTGAAATGGAAGGAATAATGCAGGAGGTAGGGTAGAGAGACAAGACGCAGACAGCAACTGTGGGAAACGAGTAACCCAAGATGGCCAGGGTCGCTATTTTGCAGAAGTGATAGGAGATGGTTGGCGGCATAGTTGAAAGTCAGAATTCCCAGACACATTAGTGAGGCTGTTTTCCCTTGCTCCTGCTCTTCTCTGACTCTCGGTGCCCCCAGAAGACCAGTCATTTTCAGTTACAGAAAAATTTTGAAAACGGTTTCTGTTGGAAGCTTGAGTTGAGCACGTAAACCTAAAAAGTCAGCAGAGAGAATTAGTCTTCAGAGAGGGAATGAAACAGAAACAGAGACCAAGGCCAATCTGGGTTTAGGAGAAAAACAGAAAGGGAAGGCAGTTTGATGGACTGTGATGCTTCCCAGACCACCATCCTGGGGACCTGTGCAGTCAGTGGCACTCTTGGCCTAGAGATAGCGGAGAATTGTAAGTTGTCTTACCTTTTATTAAATTCAACCAAACTCTGCCTAAGTCAATATCAAACTTTGGCATTTGATAGGTGATTGCAGGAAAATATTTGAATTTTATAATTTTAACAATGATATAGTAACAGTGATGATGATTCATACTTAGTGAATGCTTACTGGGTGACAAATACTTGACAGATATGAATCCATTTAATCCTCTGAACAATCTGGTAAGTTACTACTGTTATTATAGGCCATTTATGAATGAGCATGCACTGAACTATGAAATCAGTTTAACCTAAGGTTTATGTGCCAATTAACAACAGTGTCTATCAGAAAAACTAATATATTGGTTGCAAAGACTATCGAGAGTCAGAAAAGCCAACCAGAAGGTGTTGTAACAGGCAGAACATGGGCTGGGGTGGACTGAATGGATTAGGGGTGGAGAGAATGATGGGCAGGTAGTTAATTTAACAGATACTTAGGAAATGGAAGCAATAGGGCTAAGATGTGGTGAGAAGGAGTGGAACAGCCAGGACTTCCCCCAGATTTCTGTCTAGAATAAGAAGCTGTTTGTAAAGGTAGCACATGCATGAAACAGTGGATGCTGTAGTGGTGGCTGGGAAGCCTCTGGATGCCACATTATCTATGTCATGATGTTTCTTGGTCTGAGACTGAGCACTTCAGGTTATCCAATTTCTCTTTTTCCTCCTCAGTTCTTCAAAATCTTCCTTCCTTCCAATTCACACCTTAGGACCTGAGACAATTTTGGAATCTAACAAATCTAGAGAGATCATTTGGTTGGTTGTTCAACCTATCCATATATCCATCCATCATCTCTCTTCTCCAAAATCTATTCTTTCCTTTCCCCCAGATATCTAGACTGTTGAAACTCAAAAAAATAGGTAGTTATACTTCACACCATTTACCTTCTGTCATTCTGTTTTGTCATCTTTTGTTGAGGAAATGAAAGGAAAAGTGTTGTTTTAAATGAAAGGTAAAAATGAACAATAAGAACTAGGAACTAGTGAACTCAAGATATGCAAGTGTTCGCAGACTTTGGATTATTTCAATAGTCTGCTAACTGGTTTATAGCATTTACTTATTAAAGTCAAAGCTGCTTTTGAACATCAGGAAATTGGTGAAGATGTGGACATAGGCTACTCCTGTGTGCATTTATTTCCCATTTCTTATCCCTTTATCACTTCT